TGCTTATCAAATCATGAGTTATCTTTTACTTAACCTTGAAATGGCTTCGCTAACTAATCTTATCCCTGCTGAGAATGGTGAAATTCAAGATTTATATCTCAGTTTGCTAACTGAGCTTAAGTCTATCTTGCGAATAGAGTTTGATAAAAAGAAATCCTATATTATAGAATCTAGGTTCTCGCGAAAGCTCGTCAAGAAACTCTTTATGCCATTGATATATGGTAAGACCCTAATAACCATGGTTAGTGATATTCGTGATGTTTATGGTTCATTACTAAGTAATGACGATATCTTTACTCTAGCAAAAGTTTGCAATGAGTTTTATAAAAATAAATATCCAGAAATTGTGAATTTAATGAGAATGATTAACCTAATAGGTTGGTTTTGTTCTTACTTAGATAAACCAGTCAAATATAGTATTGAATACTACACAACTGTGCAGGATTATATGCGTAGCAATAAAGTAGTGATCTCTGTATATAATACTCAAACCAAGAGTAGACATCGGGTGACTCTCAGAGTTCCAACTACTGATAGGGATAAGCGGAAGACTAAAGTCTCAACCTGTGCGAACTTTATTCATCAGAAGGATGCATTTATTGCTATGAAAGTGGTGGAGAATTTGAATATTATTAATAATAATCTTCCTATCTATACAGTCCACGATAATTTCATTACCACAACTGTTTTGACAGATATAATTCCATCATTATATATTGGTGCTTTTCTTTCTTTGGATAATCCACTTGAAATAATGAATTCATTCATTCTTGACAATCTGAGTAAAGATGGGGACTCGCACGCAATAAATAGAGCTGACCCTATTCCTAGTAGTGTACTAGAAGACCTTTTAAGATCTCAGCTGTTTCCAGAAAAATTGTTTCAAAAGGAAACCAAAAAGGATATCAAATTGAATAATCATATAGATGAACTAGTGAGTTGTTACGATCAATATATAAGAGCGATTGGTGATCTAGAACATGAATTGCGCTGCGGATCCTTTAAAGCTAAGATGAAAGAATGGTATGATTTATAAGATCAGTATTGTCTTCACTACTAGGATTCCTATGAATATCCCACATTTAATATGGATAGACAAAGTGAAATTTATACCTTCTGTGGGATCTACTGCTTCTTATTGTTCAGTTGTTGAAAGGGATTCTGTCTTGTCTTCGAGTATGTCCACCTGCCATAGGAGAATTTCTGAGGAGAGCTGTAGAGATCTTTATGCTGGATTGAGATTCATTGAGGTGAGCTTCAATAAGCCTTACCTTAAATGTGGTGATACCGAACTGATCACAATGATTGTAATGTTTCTACTACATAAGTATGTCTACAGCAGCACAACCTTTTCCAGCGGTAAGTTTACTGTGGGTTACAGAATGAAGATCCCTAGAGGTATAGTTCCCTTTACAATTGGACCAGCTATCCCTTTATATGAGTGTCCTAACTCGAACACATATACGGAGCTCTGTAAGAGTATTAACAAAAAAGGGGAGGATTACGAAAAAGAAGTGATAACAGGTCTATTTATTAGGGTCTACCTTAGCAAGGTACAGCACAAAGAGTTGACTCTGAGCTCGGATGAGCTAGATAGGAAGGTAATCGAATTGGTGAAGGCGGGTCTCATCTCTGGTTGTGAAGAAGAATTGGCTGTTGAAGCCATAAGTGGGAGTCATAAGCGTTCCAAATCTCTAACATCTCTTCAAGTGAAGAGAAAGGAAAGGAAGTCCTTCATTGTTGCCGATACTGAGACCCTCTTCTTAGATAAGATCCATGTACCTTACGCTGCTGGTTTCTTGCTGGTTCACCCTGGTGAAGGAGTCTCTTCCGAGCATCTTTCTAAAGTGGAAAGGTACTTCACAGAAGATTACTCTCTAATAATTGATGATTTCGAAAATCAGAGTAATAAGATGCTCTTTGACTTTATAGAGCGTTTAGCTGTTGTAGCAGCTCGAAACAATGTTCAAACCGTCTACTTCCACAACTTAGGACGATTCGATGGGATTATCTTAATGAAGTATTTTGTTCATAGGTCAACGTACAGCATCAAGCCACTGATGAGGAATAACAAGCTCTACGAGTTGGTTGTCTCTCGTGGGAAGAAGGTGGTCTTCCGTCTAAAGGATTCTATAAACCTTCTCTCCGGTTCTCTTAACTCCTTAGCTAAGACCTTGTGCCCAGAATTGGGTTCTAAGGGCAGTATTCCAATCAAATATGAAGATGTAGATGTGCCTGCTTTGAAGCAGTATGGTTCCGAATTGATGGAATACCTGAAACAGGACATCCTTCTCTTAGGTGGGATTATGCACAAGGCCCAAGAGATCAACTGGACTGATTACCAGATTGATATCGAGGACTGCTTGACAGTCTCAGCCCTTGCAATGAAGATCTTTCGAACGTGTTATTACGATCCAAATACCTTCCCGATCCATCTACCCGGCAAGAATGAGGATAAATTCATTCGGAGGGGTTACTATGGTGGCCATGCTGATACGTATAAGCCATATGGTGAAAATCTATATCACTATGACGTGAACTCCCTGTATCCACATATTATGGCATCTAAACCGATGCCTGGGGGTGTCCCAGTCTGGAAAAGGGATCTTCGAGACCAGGACTTGGACAGCTTGTATGGATTCATTGAGGCCTATGTTGTCTGCCCTCCAACCATGAAGAAACCATTCCTGCCCTATAAGGAGCATGAGAGACTGCTCTTCCCAACAGGTAGATTCATAGGTGTCTACTTTAGCGAAGAACTCAAGTATGCCCGCAATCTGGGGTACAAGATCCTACCCCTCAAGGGATACCTCTTTGAGGAGAAAGCGTCTCCATTCGGTGGTTTTGTCCATAACCACTACGAGAAGAGACTGGAGGCAAAGAAGAGCTCACATGATGGGTTGTCTTATGTCTACAAGATACTCATGAACTCTCTCTATGGCCGATTTGGCATCAATCCAGAAAGTAAAATAACTGAGATCTGTCACAAAGACAATATTGAGTCAATGTACAATCGTTGTGGCTTTCACAGTGCGGATCCACTGACGGATGATTACTTAATGGTTCATTTCGTGAGCAACCACCCCGATGCCCCTGACTATGAATGGCATCCACCTAGGATCTCGGCAGTTCAGCTCTCTGCTGCTATTACTGCCTATGCTCGGATCCATATGTACAAATACATCTCAAGAGAGGACTGCTACTACACCGATACTGACTCTGCCTTCCTTGGGAGTCCACTGCCGGAAGAGGAGATCTCATCCACCGTCTTGGGCAAGCTCAAGCTGGAGCATATAGTTCAGGAAGGGTACTTTGTCGCTCCGAAAAGTTATGGTTTAAAGACCAAAGACAATGTAGAGATTGTGAAGCAAAAGGGTGCTGCAAAAAACTATGTGGACTTCGAATGGTTTAAACAACTATACGCTAATCCCTCTCTAAAGAAAGATGTCACCGTTGAATCACTCTTCAACGTGAATCTGAGTGATCTTCAAGTCGAACAAAGGGAATCTCTGCATCAACTAGGAATCAATCTCAACAACCCAAAAAGGGATCTCATCTTTGATGAGGATCATGTATGGGTAGACACCAAACCAAAACTCATTACTGACATCAAGGGCTATGAAGCAGTTATTTACTATTTTGATATCCTCAGATTACAGGATCAAATGAAGGAAAAAGAAGAGGTAATAGGAAGTTTGCTTCAGGAGAAGTATGATCTTCTCAGCAAAGAACATGCAAGTATGCATTCAGAGATAGATCCTAATCATCCAGATGAGACTACACAACCAAACCTCAACAACAACCCTACAGCAGATATCTCACTCGAAAGCCCCTCGAGGACAGTTGAATATAAACTGTTGCCAACGAAAGACAATTTGCTAAAGGAAAAAGGGAGCAAACCAGTTCAAGGATCACCAGTTCAAGGATCACCAGAAGATTGGACACATGCAGCTCAAGAGAACAAGAAAGAAAAGAAGAAAAAACCTCCTTAAACTAAAGCAATTACAAAAGCACTTACTCAAGCTTTAACATAAGGAACTGAATACCCACACTCGAGGAACAGGCCCAGAGGCTCATAGTCGCACACCAACTAAACTAAGGCAGCTATTGAGGAAGAAGGAGAGGCTAATTTGTTTGATTTTATGCCTGAAATTGAGGTGCCTCTAGATCAAAATCTAAATCAAAATAAAAGCAGAAAGCAGGGTGGCTTGAAATTCATGCAATAACCAGTAAAGGGCTGGAGCTACTTTCTTTGTTTTTGGTTAACAAACAAGGGTGATCCCTTAAGTGCGCTGTTAGCTCGATAAGGTAGGCTGCTTCCCCTTCCCTCCATTGAAGACAGGACTGGTCCAAGCTCCTTTCCTTTCCAATATGAATATGAGCTCCCCGAGTGCTCTCTTCCTGGCTTTAGGATGTAATGATCTACGTTCCTCCCTCAGGGAGTGACTTTGTTAATTGGAATATGCCTCATATCTTAAGTTGACTGGTAGCTCTTTAAAGGGAGGATGCTTTCCCCAACCCTGGGGCTAGCTCCCTAAAAGAGGGATTGGCGAAGACATGATCAACAATGAAAGTCGGCTAATTCATCTTTCCTTCAGAGCGCTGTCCCTTGTTTTGGTGAGTTCAGTTTTGTTGCTACCATAAGTGTCATCTAGTCGCACGTACCACCCGTCCGTCCTTACCTTATCTATATATTCTAACAGCAAGAGGAGCCTCCCTCCCCCTCGCAATTCTCCTCCCTCTGACCTCTCTACCTAATCGTCTTCCCTTAAAAACATCGTAATGTGATGCAAGCTGATCTACATTTGAGAACTATTCCTACTGTGCTTTAAACATGTGGTAAGTTGAATCCTATTGAAAGCTAAAAGAAAGGTCAGCGTTTTCCTTTGCTTGCGGAAGCTTTAAAGCGAATATTCTTAGCTTGTGTCTTCAGTATCCAACTACATAAGTATTCAAATAAGGAGATCAAAGCCCCCAACAATCAATCCCAGGGAGCTGCTTCACCTTCTATCCTCCCCACCTTTCTCCAGTATCTCACTGCCTGAGACCCGAAGTAAGTAGCCACAAGGGAATCGCGAAGGATTCAATCCAGTCAAGGGTTTCCTCCGCCCCTTGACTACCTTATGAGACCACAGTGGGGGAAAGCTCATCTATCAATCTAGACCGAAAGCATTCTCACAACATTGTGTGATAGGGTTATAAAATGCACTCAACTATATCATCAAATCTTCTACTGGTATCTTCAATGCTTCTTCGCAACCCAAGGTTAATGCTAAAAAGGCAACAAAGAGTACCGCAATAGTATGCTTTCTGTTTAGATTTTTATTGATATCCAGGGGATCGAAGGTTATTCTTTCTAAGTATTCTTTTGATTCCGAGTTTACCAGGTCAGTCAGGGGAATACCCCCTATAGTACCATTCTCATCGGGGGTACCTTTTTTAATACGGTTGATATTCCCATTACCTTTCTCCATATCTTGATCCAGATATGATCAAGGCAGGATTCAGGCAACTGTTCAATTACAAACTCAGGCAATGCAGTCCACCAAATTATGAATCCAATGGCTAATGGAATACATACTTGAAAGGTCGATTCCCTAAATCTGGCAACAGATTTTTCAAGAAAGACATCCGCCGCGTCAAAGAAGATGTCATCTTGTTTCGATGGATAAGGTTGTATTCGAGTGTGATTTTTAGTGATGCCCAGTAATCCCACTTCTGGTTCTCTTTTGATCACCTGGATGGCTTTTCCTTTCCCACTTTGTAGTACATTTTTTTCACCAATGGCCATTAATGAGAGGGGGTGGCTTGTTCCTATCAAAGTTTTCCACCTTTGGAAAGGATGCTGGTCTCCTCGAGGAGATGTATTCTCACCATAGGAACCAACTTCCTTGCTTCTTTTCATTGAAATGTTCTTTTTTTCAGAAACCTTCTTCATTCTTATTGGAAGGATCTTTCCTTGACTTGAAGTAGGTATCGTTGTCATTTTGGATTGAGCACTACCTTTACCTTCTTGGGGTTTAGGTTGATACTCATATTTATCAACAATGACACCTTTAGCTACTTTAGCTAGTTTAGCAACAACTGACAACATGTTAACTATGAAATAATTCAATTCTTATTCCCGCTGCTCTTTTTTAGGTAGCAGCAAGAATTTGAGCAAAGACTATATGAAATGGACCTGGTGTTTTGCACCAGGAAAGACATGGGAGTTGTTAAGCATGAATTGACACATATGTTACCATTTGCAGACGAGAAAGCGTCTTCTCACTAGATTTCATAGGGTAAACAACACAACAATAAGGGAGTCTCTAATGCAAGATACGTGAAACGTTACTAAGAGACAAAAATCCATACTCTCTTCTGGCTAGGTTTAAGTTGTGGAGGTTTCCAGGTCGTAGTGAGGGGGAAGGTAATCATAGCTATTTATTTGACTTAACCATTAGGATAGCCTAACCTAAAAGTGTATGTCTAATCTAATCTCTTTTCCTTCACTTTGATTTTGCCGTCTTGGCTGACACAAACTAGACCGCCATAACAAGGCACAGGTGCGTCTCCCGGTCCAATAGAAAGGATTTTACCAGCCAAATGGAGTTGGTCCAATAAGCTGAGTACTTGTTGTTCGTCGAAGAACGACAATTGCATTGCCTCGCTTTCCAACGACAATTGCATTGCCTCGCTTTCCAAGGTCTTTCCTTGCTTACTTGAACAAGTATTAGATGTGTCTTGGGGCAAGAAAGAAAAACTTCATGTATATACCTACTATAGTCTACCCCAGGAAATGCACGCTGAAACTCCTTATCGAACTCGGTTAAGGCAAAATTGAGTAGTACATGTGTTAGAAGTCCCACGGTTGGGATACTACATCCCATCTCGGCAGTGAAGTCTCTTCCACTTTGATCCAAGATTGGCACGGACAGGAATTTGTCGACGAATTCAATAATAGCCCCATCCTTCACTATATGTGACAGGTTCAACAAAAGACTCTCTCGATTTATTGTCCTCAGGGAGATTGTTAGGTCGCATTTATAAAGCCTTAAGACCTTGCCTCTCGCGCATACTGTACTATAAAATGCATTTGGTGTTGTTCGCAAACCAAAGGATTTATCAGTGAAAAGGTTTACCCTGAGAAAATGAAGGTTTAACATACGCCCGAGCGCCGTTAGCACAAGGCTGTCTTCTAGTGTAGGATTGATGCCCAAATAGAGATTTGACTCATCCTTGGCTGGAAAGGTGTGGAAGAACCCAGGCTTTTGGTCTCCCTTTCTGGCGAAGGCGCGAAGGAGAAGCGGCGACAGGGTGTATGTTCCATCCTTTACGCTTTTCTGAATTTCTCTTACCTTTTGTTCCGTCAATTCCACAAAAACATCCGGTAATTCATTGTATGTCATCCCGATAGCGTACGCAAGCCGATGCAACGAACAAAATGGATGAATCTCATCTTTGTAGCTACTCAAATATCTACTCCTAGCCTTGTGAAAAGTAAGAAACATATCATTCTTCATTTTTGAACTCATGATTACTCTTTATTCTTTAAACTTTCCCTCCATAAATTGTTGGCATAGTTCCGTTCCGCCGACGGTTATATAGGATACAGTGCTCAATAGACAAACTGCGAGGCAGGAAATCACTAGTTTCCGTAGTACTACTTTGTGGGTTTCCTCTCTTGCTCTTATTCCCAAGGGGTCGAAGGTTCCCGTCTCGTTCGACTCTGCGCTGGTACCACACCCCGAGGTGCTGGCCCCACCTGTTTCGAGTGTGCTCCCGGCGGCATGCATGAGACTATGACTTAGATCCTCGCACAGTTCTTCGGCGAGCTTGATCGTCTGGGGGGACCATTCTCGTGTGCTATCCTTGAAGGATTTGTAAAAATCTGGGCTTAGGATGAAATGGAAATCATAATTACCAATGGTCAGCATAAGGCTTGGCATTAAAGAGTACCAAATTTGAAACCCCAAGCAGATAGCTTGATTCATGGCAGCTGTGTTAGCTGTGAGAACATCAATGTAGTGCCTAATCGCCTCGTATTCGTACCCCCTCCATATGAAATTTGAGAAACCCTGGTTAATGCTTTGGTGAGCTTTTAGATTTCGTAGCTCTATTGTTTTATCAAGATCTGACCTGCGCTTTTGTAAGAATTTATGTATACACTTTTGAGTAGTATACACTGGCACGATTTTCACAGGTTTGACTCTGAAGTCCCTATCCTCAACTCTACTACTAAGCTTTCCTTGTCCTGTTAGTACAAATAAGCGAGAATAATTCCTCTTGACTAATGAAAGAAGACCTTCTGGCGTACTTCCCTGGAACGCTCTCTGTACTTTTTGTAAGCACCAAGTCTCTTTATTCATGCTTTGATTGTTGAATCGTTTCATAGGATACCAATGGAATCTCTCAACCGCCTTATCAATTGCTATTTTACGTGTGATACCCTCTTGATTCTGATCTCCCTCGGTATTCTTAAGCATTTCGTGGTTTCTAAACAGAGCTGATTTCGTCATTTGTTGGAGAAACGTTAACATGGTTATATTTTCATTGAGTATTTCTTTGAGTTTGTATGTCACTTTGCTCACATAGCAACTTATATGGGAACATACCTTTGAGTTTCGTTCGATGTCATCCTTTGAGTTACGTTCGATGACATTAGTGTTCGCTGCAATGCTTCTCTCGTTTGAGCGTTCGATGCCATCCTTATTCGCTTCGCTGCAATGCTTCTCTCGTTTGAGCGTTCGATGCCATCCTTATTCGCTTCTCTCGTTTGAGCGTTCGATGCCATCAGTGTTCGCTGCAATGCTTCTCTCGTTTGAGCGTTCGATGCCATCAGTGTTCGCTGCAATGCTTCTCTCGTTTGAGTGTTCGATGCCATCCTTATTCGCTTCGCTATGCTATGCTTCTGTTATGAAATTTGAACGCGACTTCAAGGTATTTTCTCTTTTTTTTTGTAGATGATTCTCTTATCACCCTAAGCCTTACCCTGGGTATTTATATGGATTAATGTGTGATAGGCAGCGTATTTCTTTTCCTATCTACCCTTCCCCATCATTAGCTTACGAGTTGGGAAGCAAAGGCTCACACGACCAATCGTCAAAATATAACTTAGATGGGACAGGCTGTGGGTTCCAAATTTATAGGTGTGATAGATATTTATCTACAGAAGTATTCCCATACGGGCTATGCGGGGGGAAATCATTTTTTTCCCCTAAAGATCGCCATTAATGAGAGGGGATTTTTTTCGGTCTCTGACCGATTCAGGAAAGTACTTATCTTGGAAAAGTTGATCAAACTCTTCCCAAGTGAGTGTATCGGTGTCCTTTCTCCTCTTTATGGCATCCCACCAATAGTTGACCTCCCCCTCAAATAGGTAGGTCGCCAAACCAACTCTCAACTCCTTCGCAACTCCCATGCCATCACAGATCTTCTTCACTCGGTGGATCCATCTATCCACCTCCAAAGGATGGAGCTCCCTTGGAAATTGGGTGGTCGTTGTCTTAAGAATTCTCGAAGAGCTATCATCCTTCGGTCTCCGTTCCCATTGCCCGATACTTGAGTGAGAGGATGAGCTCCACCATTGTGGTTGTTGTTACCATTTTGGTTTTGTACCAAAGTGGTGAGCTCCCTCAAGCATTGGTAAATGCCTTGCATGGCATTTGGAGGTGGTGGTGGTGGTGGATTTGCTTGACCTTCACGGCCACGCCCATGTTTGTGTCCCCGTCCGTTCATCTAGCACATCAATTCACAACTTAGTTCATGGATGTAAAGGACATCATAAATATTAGGTTAAGCTAAGGCATAGAACGTGTATAAAATTTCACTTAAGGATTTGATTCACCCTAATCCTAAAGCTCCAGAGGTGATTTCATAACCTACAGCTCCCATGTAAGACCTAAAGCCTAGGCTCTGATACCAACTTCGTAACGCCCCAAAACACACCCTGGATGACATTACATTCTAAAATCATTCATATCATGAGAGCACTAATATAATCCCTTAAGAAACAAGACTTCATTTATCATCCACGAATATTTACAACATTATCCAAAAGAACAAGCCCAAGTCATGGCTATTACATCTCAAAAATTAATTAAGGAAGCGCAGCGGAATAAACAAAAGAAGCTAGACTACACAATGTTCCAAAAAAATGTCCTAGTCTAGTACAAAAGGAAAGGAGGTCGCTCTATGCGTCCACCTTGGGATCCACACTCCCGTCCCGTGGAGTCTCCCAAGTAGCGGGCTCCTCGACCCTTATGTCCTCCTCCACAAGCGGGTAATCTGAAAAATGTTAGCGATAGGGGGTGAGCACGAAGCTCTGTAGAAACATTCTCCCAAACCCATACAAGATTTAGAAAATCATTTAAAACGGCCGGTCTCAATTTTAACATAACATAGACACATAATTTGAAATAAAGCAGTGACATTTAAAAAGGATCTCAAGTTTATTTAAAAATATTACTTAAATAAATAAATGAGCACCACATACAAATAATAACCATTAATTGCCATAACCAATTTTCAACAATTCTTTCGGTAGGTGGCATACTTTGTGGTAACCTCCACCACCCTCTTTTAGGTCACCTCTGATTCTCAAGCATCCTCACCGGGAACCTCTTGAAAATGGATGAGCATCCTTACATGGAACCTCTCACCAATCACTACATTATTTCCGAAGCATCCTTACCGGGAACCTCTTGGGAAGGGGTGAGCATCCTTACAAGGAACCTCTCTCTCATGTGCATCATAAACAACCCAAACAAGCATACAATTCCAACATTTATCTCAATTTACAAGCATCTACCCAAAATTCCCAAAATATATCATTTAACAATTCCACAACTAACTAAGAAAATACATGAGATCACAATAACATCATTTTTTCTACCCAACACAAAGTACTAAGGTTTCAAAATCCATAATAAAGAAAGCATTTAGGAAGGAAATACATCACTCTCCAAAAATTAGGGTTTTAAAACTAGAAAAGAGATTTCATGGGTATTAAACCATACTTTGTTCAAAACATGTAATCTTTGCAAAAAGCCTAAGAGAGGATGATTCCATAGCATATATATATCGTTGACAACCAAAACATACATATATAAATACCCTAGCCTCAATGTAAGTGAATGAGAGAAAACCCCTACATTGAATCCTTATCTTTGGAGTGAAGAACAAGAATACTTGATCTTGAATCACCCTTGAATTTCTTGTTTTTCTCTTCCTTTCTTCTTGTCTAATGCCCTCTAGGGTTTCAAGAGGTGTGGGGGTGTGAGGGGAGTGAAGGAAATGAGAGCAAATGAGATGAAAATGAGTTTAAAACATAGCAGCCCCGAAAAATACTGTTCACAGGCTGTTTTGGGTTTCTCCAAATTTATGGTTTTACCACTAAGAATCTCCAATTTGATCCATATGACTACCCTAAGGTTTTCTGATGTTTTGGATTCATTTTTAATGTTATTTTAACCTAAAAACATTTATTTTTATGATTCATCTCAACACCCAAGTCAATGTACACCCGGAACACTAAAGTTTCTATTTTACCCATCTGAATCGGCTATTAATGAAGTTTTGCGATGTTTGCAAATAAAAGGTGATAAAGGGTGTTTCTTAAAGTCTTTTATACTTATTTGAAGCCTAAAAGTACTTATTATTTTTATATTTTGATTTAGGATGCAAATGGAGACGTTAAATGCAAAACGAAGCTAATTGGACTATTTCGACATCATTTCATTATCTGAGCATAACTCTCTCACCCAAGCTCCGATTGGGATGATTCAAGATGATATGGAATGATAAGAAAGAGCTCTAGAACTTTCATGTTTTGAGTTTTGAGTTTTGAGAGATATTGACTGCATCAAGGTCTAAATCGATCTTGAAGTTGCAGTAGTGCACTGTTCATAGCCTGTCTTCGTCCCTTTTCCATTTCCAATCAATTCCTAAGCCAACCAAATCTATCCCAAACCTCTCCAACACATATTTCTACACCAAACCTATTTAATACAAGTTCTAGTACCTAAAATTTCATATTTTCACTTTTTAAAACCAAATTTCAACTATTATTTTCACTAACATTTTAAATCTCTACTTTTCCAATCTACCAAATTCAAACACACATCACTACATATATCCACATTTTTTTATCACAATTATTTACTATATATCTATATACATATATAAAAGAAAATGCGGGGTGTTACAGTTTGTATATATGCAGTTGCAATCATGAGATCAAATGAATAATTCAAGTATTCCTCACGAATGACTTGTCCTTCTGGTTTGCTTGGGTTAATTAGTTGACATAGATTTAACCGGTGTAGCTTAAGAAGCAGCTGTGTTATAATATATTACCACCAGCGTAGCCTAAGAAGCAGTTGTGTTATGGTTTATTTAAATCAGACCTACCGGTTGACTTTCCAATAACATGGGAGTTAATTGTTGTGAGGTAGCATTTTCAGTATCTAACCAATGTAATGCATATGGGACCCTTAAACTGAAGGGTATCTTTTATATTCTTGTTGCTAACACATTTACTTACGCACTTTATTATTTTTGTCATTAATCTGTTTTAGTTACGCATTTTATTATCTCTGCACTTTATTTCCGCCTTGCTTTTATTTAAATAAACTAGTTACCAAACTAATCTCACACCACAAGCTATAAAACAGTATTCTGTTTCAAACAACACTTTTAATTTTTTTTTTATTTTATAGTCTAAATTGCTAAACTCTTCATGGAATCGGTATTTGGACTTAAAACCGAGAAAACTACAATTTGAACACTTATACTTGGGTGTACAATATAATATAATTCAGACCACTAAAAAGTGTGAATCAAGTTTTTGGCACCGTTGCCGAGGAGTTATAGTAATAAATAAATAAATAAGATAGGTGTATACATGTTTTATATGTTTATAGTTTGCTTGTTTGTTTTTAGTCTATGTCTGTTCATTCATCGGTAGGTTCTGTAAATCAATCCACTCCTTCATCATCTTCTTCTACATCTACACAAGAATCATTCAACTTAAGTATGACACAAAATGTACCTAGACAACAAGAAGAAAGAGAACATGAAGTAGTTCAAAATGTTCGACCATTAGGAGAATATTTACATCCTACAAGAACTAATGTCCCATCATGTTTTACTTTTCCAACAGACACTCCAAATATTAATATTAAACCAGGAACTATACAGTTACTACCACAGTTCCATGGTTTAAAAACTGAAAATTCTTATGTTCATATGAAAGAATTTGAAGAAGTCTGTGGAACTTTGCAAGATAATTCTGAAATGATTAAATTAAAAATTTTTGCTTTCTCGTTAAAAGATAAAGCTAAACTATGGCTTAACTCTTTAAGAGCAAATTCTATCACAAATTGGCAAGCTTTACAAACTAAATTTTTTAAAAAGATTTTTCATGTGCATCGTACTAATGCATTAAGACGCCAGATAATGAATTTTGTTGTAAAAGAAAAATAAACTTTTTATCAATGTTGGGAAAGATTTAAAGATC